TCCTCCAGCCAGCGTGGCTGGCTGGGGGATTCTGGGAGTTGAAGTCCACACAGCTTAAAGTTGCCGAGGTTGAGCAACACTGGTCTGTAGTCTCTGTTTTTACCTCTTGTGGTGTAGCCTCCCATGACATAAATCTTCTCCTTGCATTCACACGCTGAGAATTCCACAAGGGGAGCTGGTAAAGATGCCACAAAACTCCACCAGTCCTGCTCCGGATTGTAACACTCAACACTCGAGAGAGATTGGCCCCCGACGGCATATAATTTCCCACTCACAGCCACGAGCTTAAAATTAGCCCTGTGAAAAAAGACATTTGGCGAGTTTGAGGGTCAAGACACAAGTATTTCCAGCATGGTGTTTCATCTCAACAACTATATACAACAAGCAGTGTGAATTTCCACGCAAGCTTCAGGAAGAAGTCCTGCGCATGTTTACTTCTGAAGCCATGCCACTGATTTTCATGAACTTTATACCCAGTATCAGCGCATGTTATGCATGAAGCCCACACACTTTTATTTTTTCTCTTCCGCCTGCCTTCTTCAGGATTTGGAGTGAAAAGTGAACCTGATCAAGAAGTCCTGAAACTAAATGACTGTTGCACATGGAGACAATAGTTAAGGAAGAGGTTAATGTTCAAATTCTTCCAAGTGCAGAGTTGAGAGAACGCCTAGCAAACTCCTACGAAACCAGCAAGAGATATACTGGAGAAATATCTCTATGGCTTTGCATGTAGTTTGCACTACAAGTAACGGGTACAAAAAACTAACCAGATAACTTTATAAACCTTATTTACCTAGGGAGTAAATCATTCTCCAAGCTTCGATGCTTGGCCTCCTTCTCTTGTGTGTCCTGCTACCACCACCTCCCTGAAACCTCCAGCAACGCGGCCCTCCATCTCTCTGGTTCGCTGTGGCAATCCACCACCTTCTCTGTCCCCCCCAGGATCAACCCCAGTTATCTTTCCCTTCCTTGCTTCTGCTGGTTGCTCTATGTTGGGTTGGCTGGAGCAGTAAATATTGAGCACCAGATGAAGGTATTCAAGGACCAGCAAGTTGTTGCAAGACATTGAGATGAGTTTTGCAATTTGCTGTCTCTGCTTCATGCAGATGAAAATCAAGCAAAAGATTAGTAGGAAACAACGGGTCTTCGTCCTCGCATTTGGACGGCCTATCTTCTCCCTGAGTGAGACTTTCACCTCCATGTTCCTCCAGAGCAGTGTTTCTCAACCTTGGCGGCGTTGAGAGGTGTGGGGTGTTAATTCCAAAAGTCACTCCCCTATCTCCGTGTTG